CTCCTTCCTCCCTCCTTCCTACTGCAAGCTAGTAGGTTGCCACCTGCTGTGCTCTCCCGTATGATATTGTACTAGACAGGAGGTTCAGGGAAGCCAAGAGAGATTTGGAGTCGGCTGTTTAGGAGCATGATGACTGTAATTGCTTGTGCAAACATGTAAAGGAATACTTTGCAGGACAATGTATATCTGTGTGATCTGGATTCAAACATTTGAGAGTTTAATATTACTTTAACAAAGCCATATCACATAGATTTCTAAGAATTTTCATGATGTACATACTTGCAACAGGGTGGGATCTATACATCCATGTGCTGGGGCTGAGCTTTGCATATGAACCAAACAACATCCTGCAAACAGCACATTCACTCTGGGAATCAAATAATGTGGTTGGTGGTAAAGGTGTGAAGGTTCAGTGAAAGGTTGTATCATCCCTGTGGGTGTAAAGCACCATGAATGCTAAACATATTCATTCCAAGCTCAGGAGACTTAGACAACCTTTGTGCTCTGTGTGATGACACAGCTCACTAAGCAATGTGTAAAGGGCATGTAACTTTTCTATTAAAGGAAGACCTTTAAACCACCAACAAAACCCTCTTATCTTAATTTGGTCCGCAAACGATTAGTAGAATGGCACTCTGATTTATACCATTTCCCAGGAACAATTTGTTTTTTTTCTGCCTACTTGCTCATTTAGAATTCATTGTCTAAATATTATATATTTAGCCACTGTCTAAATATATCCCTGTAACATATTTACATTGAAAGACACTACATTTACATATATATTATGCAAATATGGCTTATTTTATTAAGTAAGTGCAAATAGTGTGCAAATAATTTATGACAGATTAGATTATGTTCGTATTTGTTGGAATTCATTCAAATTAGCTTGTTCACATTTTACTGATTTACACAAAAGACCTACAGGCCTATATTTTCCAATCTCCAACCCATTGCTTGTTGTTCCTCATTTCCATAGTTTGCTAGAGTGGAACTGTTTTTTATTTTAGCTGGTGGAGTGTGGAAGGGTTATAACCTCTGTTTATGGCCCCCTTCTGGAAATTTCCTCTTACTTGTTCCAAGGACAGCTTTGTTACAGCAATAAAAACACTATTGTTAGAAGAATGAGGGAAGACTTGGACTTTTGTCAGCTTTTGATTGCTGTCTGTCTCGCCTTTGCATATTTTCTGTTATTTCCTGTCTCTGTTACAATGTTGTCACTGGAAAATTTGAGAAAAAAATCTCCCCATTGGGTTCACAGAAAGCAATAAAAGCTTGATAGAGACTAACCTTTCTCCACAGGCAAGTGACATTTGAGACTATCTGAGCTGTGATTAGAGATGCCACCTGGACCATATTACCAGTTTGGTTTGCAAAAATTGAACCTTTTGCCAATATTATTAGTAGGAAAGAGATCATAATGCTTTTTTTTCAGTAAAGATGGCAACAGTACCCGTAACACCTGCCAGTTACTTGAATCTCTACTGCAAAGTGGAGCCTAATGCTCTAGCCCTCTATGTTGATAATTGCCTGTGTGTAGTTAAAGAGACTCGGTCACTTTACCCATTCAAGAACATACCCTCACATGGGCTCCAGTGAAGGAACAGAGCAGTAGGGGAACTCAGTAAAAGTTAGCATCAGCATGTGGCGATGGCGGAAGTGGTGGTGGTGGCGCTGATGGGGGGGTTGTTGTCTTCTTCAACCTGAACCTGGATGAGCAAAAAGATAATTTTTATGTTATTATAATTTTGCTTTTTTTTTCAATTGATTAAATCCATTAATATATTTTACGCTCATCTATATTTTAGGGTGATGTTGTGTTGGGTGCTGTTTAACCTGCCACTGTGCTTACAAAATAAAACAAATACCTTGTGATAGACTTAATGGTAAAGGGGAGGGAGTCAGTGTTCTGATTCATTTACTTGTGTGTACAAATTTCACCTTGAGTCACTGAGATCTGTAAACATTGTTTTCACAGAAGAAAAATATTTAAAACATGTGAAAATTAGCTCCTAGAGCTCCACCTGCTGGCTGGATATATACCCATAACATATTCATATGCAATATATTTTATATAGTACGAAATATCACTTGTTTAGTCACTTACTATAATACATGTTAGTAACCCTGCCATAAGGGTCTAGTCTAAATGTAGTGTTTGTAGCTTTTCTGTGGTTGTTTGTTTACATTATCTGGGATCATTAGGTTTTCCTAAACCCTGGACTTTGTTTGCTTCTGCCTACGTTTGGGTACAATGTGTGGGATTATGAATATTTATTCTGCCCAGGTCAGTCGCTGAGGGATTTATGCCCCTGATGTAGCCTGGAGAAGAGGATAAATATTTGTGGAGACCATTTTAAAGGATCCTTCCATCCTAGGCTTTGCATGGAGAAGATGTGTGTGTGTTTAGGGTCCAGTCATTTCCTCTCTGCTGCCTGGGGAGGATGTGAGTCCAGAGATCCTTCCCTCCCAGGCCTGCTTCCTTAAAGGAACATAGCTCCAAAGAGGTCCAGTTCATGCTTCTTGGGCCTGCTGCCTAGGGAAGTAAGGTAAAGCTAAAGAAAAATCCTGCTTTATTGCCAGTCACTACTTAAAGATCTGCAACTACCAGTTTTGCTGTCTGGGCTTAAAGGTCCACAACTAGCCTGTGAGAGGGTCTGAAAATATTTAATGATAGCTGTTCATCTGGCCTGCCAAATCTAAACTAGCCTGCAGCAGAGGTTAAAGATATTACAAGATACTACTAAGCGGAGGGAAATTTTCTTCTGTTTTTGAGTATCCTGTACCCTAATCTCTTTCTTCCCTTAACAACTGAGCCAATAAAATAGTAAAAGAATATTGGTGGATTGGAAGTTGGTTTTTGGCTGTCATGGGGTCGTTGAGTGTCTAGGTGCAGCTACATCAGTCACCAGGAGAAAGGCTAGTAAGGCTTGTAAAATCCAGTAGCTTCTTTGGGATCCATGCAATGTAAGTGCTACATAAATAAAGAAAACCAATATTCCAATGGCTTACAGAGCAGACATTCTGGAAAGCCTGATTTCAGTAGTGAGCTAGCATGTGGCTGATCAGTATAAAAACACAGTTTACATAATTATACAAGCTAAGTATGAAATAATTTTATGAGTTTTGTAGGAACAAGTAAGTGAAGGAAAGGGTGTTTCTCCATAGTTGTTGCCTATAGCTGTGTTTTAACGCTCACTCACTTGTATTCACTGAGATAAATGAGTGCAGATGGTCATTAGTTTTCAATGGATATCAGCAGAACTTTCTGAATACAGAAGGTATTCCTGCTATCATTGCTAGTTTTATAACCAACACCATCTTACATAACTGGAGAAATACGAATTTCATCCTCATGCGAGTAGAGAAACCCAAACATCTACCTGGTTGCCCTTGGGACAGATATGCAAATGATGGATGTACCGTTAGGTTACTTGACTTCAGCAACTGTATGTAGTGTTTACCTTGCAAATCATTGAAGCCATGAACTATGGCACATTGCAAGCAGATAAGGTTCTCCCAGGTGGTTTTTTTAATACAGATTTCTATAATCCGTAGACTCAGGCAACATTGTATTGTGCTGTGCTATTTTAAAGATCATTTTCTTTGCTGCAATGATTTGTTAACAAAAAAGTAACTTTTACTTTAACTTGAGTATACTTCAGATATGCAACAAGGTTTAGGGGGACTAAATGAAAAAAAAAATTAGGTTAAAAGAATTGCTTCAATAAATCTTCCCCCAAAGCTGCTTATAACTTATCTCTAAGGACACCTTTGGGGAGCACTGTTATTGCACACCGCTTAATGCACCGTATACTGCAATGTGAGCTGTATTAGGGCAGTCTGTTCATTTTGAATATGTTGTGAATGCACCCCAGTGCACCAAAAACTGGACCTAAAACTTTCTTTTGCCAATGAAGTGCATCACAGCGTATGTAAGCGCTTTTTCATGGGCTCTGTACTGCAATGCGCTCTGTGCTGCAATGCAGGTCTTTTGCCTTGGTGCATTGGGGTGCCATTCATAATGGATGGCACGCAACACATTAATGCATGCATAATGTGCAAAAGTGTGAAAGGGGCCTCAGTGGTTTCTTAAATACCTTGAAAACTCCACACTACACCCTACTTCCCTTTCACAGCCAATATAAAACAAATTGACCTCAAGGCAGTAAAATACAGTAAAATACATATACTGTACATTTACTCTTTTACCTGTCAGTTGATCTGTAGTTCTATACAATGTTGTGATTTGTCATTTTGGTTCTAAGTAACTTACTGAATAAGACAGATACTGTGTAACATGTCATGCACGTCTACACTTATGGAAGGGCCTCCCCCCCCTTCCATAATTGTAGACGTTCATGACAGTTGTTGACAGCTATAGACAGTTGACAGGGTGCAGTTGTTGCAGCTATAGCTATAGATTTTTTCCAGTAACCACTAACCACCTGATCCTCCTAAAATAACCTTTTCCAGAAACAAACAAAATCCTCAACAGGGCTACCTACAAAAGAGTAATTGCTTACCTTTCCCACTAACTATGTCTCTAGAATGTTCCTTTCAAGAATAATCCATCACTGAAGTCTGCTGGGAAACCAACACTTCTGGCAGTGTTAATCTAGTCGGTCCCCCCTGAAGCACTCAGTCGTTCCACTTGCCAACCTCCACATCACTAATGTGTCCTGTGACACTACAGAAAGTGTCCGTTACCCAGTGGAGTTCAGTGAAGGATTGTTTTTGAATGGAGTGGCGGGAAAGGTAAGTGATTACTCTCTTCTTTTGTCCTGTTTGGAGACTTTCTTTTCTTTTTTTTTCTGACAGGAGCACTTTAATAATGAATATAAGTTACCACACCCTTCAGGATTGAGGTGTTAATGCTGTTAATTACAGGAGTGCAAAGCTTTGATTTATCCTCATACTGTGTACTGTCTACCCTTTTTGATGGGTGAAGGTTGCCTGGTAATATATGCATCTCATTTCCATTATCTGCCCTTTTCTAGCTCGCCCAGATTTTACCGACTGAAGAGAACTTCTTGTTGTTCTTCAGACAGCAGCTGAAGTCAAGTGAAGAGTTCATGCAGGTATTACAAAGCTATTTTCATAGACAAGGAGATACAGACCTGTAATATTCAATGTAGTCATTCAGCCATGGAACTAAGCAAAAACTGTATTGCTTAATGTGCCCTGTAGTTTGCTTAATGTAAGAAGGTATTTTTCCCAATAACTCATGTCTAGCCCTATGGCTTGTCTTTTAAGAACATGTAATTAAAACACCTTTCAGGATATTACTATAATCTTTTAAGTTTGGCTCACATTAATTGCCTTAATCTATTCAAACCTAAAAAATAAAAAAGGAAAATGTATTTTTGTTTTTGTTTTGATAAAATTATCCTTAGTGCTCTTTGAATACCTTTCCTCGTTAACATAAAGCTATACCCAAAAGTTCAAAGGCACCAGGCTCTACACCCCAGTAAAGTTAAAAGGAATCTAAATTTTATCTCACCTCCAGCATCTTCTCCTCTGTAATAAATAGCTGGTTATGCTGCCAGTCATACTGTGCCTTACCTTTGCACAGTGACAGCACGGAATGCCCTGCAGTGAATTTTATTCAGCTGCTGGGGCCATAGGTAGGTTGAGGAAGGTTAAAGCGATATATAT